TTGCAGGTAACACCTGCGTAGGCTGGGAACGCACAGGGGCGGTGCTGAGCTGAGGATGCGGCAGCTCCGACGTGAGAGGCCCTGTTGGAACCCGCACCTGCCACCCTCACCCGGGGTGTCTGCCCGGATGTCACGTTCCTGGCCCTTGCTTGCTTTCTGATAATTCATCGATTTCTGTTAGCCTTTTAATGAGTCATTTAATCACACAGAGTGAGTTTTCAAGGAGATCTTACTCCAGAAGCACACAGAAAGCAATTTCACCTTGTACTCTTTGGAACTGGCCACCCAACCAGTTTTTGGTTCAGCAAAGCGTATGTTCATCCAAAACATGAGCAGCCAGCTTCCCGAGGAGGGTGCTGTGGGAAACATTGTCACAGGCCTTGCTAAAGGTAGACAAATCCACAGCTCTTCCCTCATCCAATAAGCGGGTCACCCTGTTGCAGAAGGAAATCAGGTTAGTCAGACAGACCTGCCCTTCATGCACCCGTGCTGCCCGAGCTGATCACCTTGTTGTTCTGCATGTACCATAATGGCACTCAGAGTGATCTGCTCCATCAGTTTCCCTGGTACCGAAGTCAAACTAACAGGCCTGCAATTTCCTGAATCATCCTTCCATCTCTTTTTATATATCGGGGTTACACTGGCTGATTTCCAAGCTCCTGGTACCTCCCTCCTTCAGCCAGGGCTGCTGATAAATGATGGAAAGAGGCTTGGTGATGCACCCCCACCAGCTCTTTCAGCACTCTTGGGTGCATCTCATAGATTTGTGCACATCTACACAGAGAGCAGGTCACTGACCACGTCCTCCTGGATTGTGAGCGAGTCATTCTGCTCCTGTTCCCTGTTCCCTAGTTAGGGAGTTGGATTACCTCTATATAACTGGTCCTATTACTAAAGACTGAGTAAAAGAAGTAATTAAGCACCTCAGCCTTTCCCTCATCCTTCATCACTATGTTTCCTCCTGCATTTAAGAAAATGAGTGGTGCACTTTCCCCCTTTTATAACATAACCTCCTCCAGAGGCCACCTTCAAGGTCCCAAAATACAGCTGATCTTCTGCACTTGTGCAGCTTGTTGTGCTGGAAGCTTCTGGGGTTCACAGCATTCAGACGTTCCAGGGGCTGGGGAGGGAGCTTCTTCCAAGGTGAGCCCTGGTGGTCTGCACAAGTGGAGAGCAGCAGCTGGAAATTTACCAGGTAAGGCAAGGTGGAGAAGAGTATGAGGAGAGGGATTTCCTGCCATCCCACCTGCACTGTTCATGCTTACCTAACACAGGATTTCATCCTGAGTTGTTTGAGGCACAAGAGATGTCCCACATACCCTTGCCAGTCACCCAGCAGGCTCTGGCAGCATGCCAGCTGCCAGCCAGGGAGCCATGCAAACAGCTCACTGTAAAATGCATGCTGAGTAGAAGTGCTGACTTAGTTTGCTTTCTCCTGTACATAGTGGCTAAGTTTTGCAGAACTTAGAGAAATCTAATTATGCTGAAGCTGTTCACCTGACTAATAGGGATGAAATAAAACCGGAGGGTATCTCTTTTTTTGCCTCAATCTTTAATAAAATTGACAGATGTTGGGCTGTTGGTCCCCTGAAGCAATGTTGTCCTGAAAGCAGCGTCCATCACCCCATGTACAATAAGCTGATCCACACACAGAGACAAGATATTTGTTTTAAAATCCAGTTCCGAGCAGAAAAAGGGAGCAAGGTGATACTGGATAAAAAAACTCAGCTTCATAAAACATATGGACTAATTCTATACACGGACACATGTAATATTACTTGATTTCTAATTATATTCTATCACTTGTTCACAAAATTAGTTAACCACATCTTAGCTTCCGTTTAAAACAACAGTGTTCAAAAATTTCACTATGCATGCTCAAAGCCCAAGGGTCTTTGTGTTAATAGGGGGTCCCTATAGCCTATGGGTAGGTATTTCAGTATGCCAGTAGCACATTGATATGCTGATGTTATGTTAATACAGTGAGTCCAATTAATCAGTGTTTTCTACCCCGTGCTCAAGGCTGTAACAAAGATAAGAAGTGGGGAGTACTCCTTTCCATCCCTTTCATCTGTCTTGCAGGCTTATGTCTCAAGGACAGGCTGTTGACAACTTGGAATGTGTTTTTCTCTAATTCTCGCTGTTTCAGTGTTATTTATGTGAGCTCTGTTTTTACACTGCATGTCTCTTTGCTCTCTTTAATATGATTTTCCTCCCAAATTTTATGTATTTCAATTAATATTCCACACAAAGAGGACCATGAGTATAGGAACTCTGACTTTCTATTTGTGAACACTGCAATTTTAAGGCCAGCTGTATCAGCTGAATTTTCAGAAGACCGTGGAGCCTGGTGGGATTCATCCCAGGGTACAGAATAAGTTAGTGAATGTTATGGCAGGAGCCCTCTCAATCACCTACCAAAGGTCTTGGGAGTCTGGGAAGGTTCCCGCTTACCAGAAGCTAGCCAATATTATTCCAATTTACAAAAATGATGTGAGGGAACACCCAGGAAACTTGAGACCTGTTACTCCAACCTCAGTTCCTGGAAAAATTACAAAGAGGGTCATACAGGGTAGTACTGAAAGGCATTTACAGAATAATGCAACCACAAGGCACAGTCAACACAGATTCACAAAGAAAACATATGGACTAATTCTATACACGGACACATGTAATATTACTTGATTTCTAATTATATTCTATCACTTGTTCACAAAATTAGTTAACCACATCTTAGCTTCCGTTTAAAACAACAGTGTTCAAAAATTTCACTATGCATGCTCAAAGCCCAAGGGTCTTTGTGTTAATAGGGGGTCCCTATAGCCTATGGGTAGGTATTTCAGTATGCCAGTAGCACATTGATATGCTGATGTTATGTTAATACAGTGAGTCCAATTAATCAGTGTTTTCTACCCCGTGCTCAAGGCTGTAACAAAGATAAGAAGTGGGGAGTACTCCTTTCCATCCCTTTCATCTGTCTTGCAGGCTTATGTCTCAAGGACAGGCTGTTGACAACTTGGAATGTGTTTTTCTCTAATTCTCGCTGTTTCAGTGTTATTTATGTGAGCTCTGTTTTTACACTGCATGTCTCTTTGCTCTCTTTAATATGATTTTCCTCCCAAATTTTATGTATTTCAATTAATATTCCACACAAAGAGGACCATGAGTATAGGAACTCTGACTTTCTATTTGTGAACACTGCAATTTTAAGGCCAGCTGTATCAGCTGAATTTTCAGAAGACCGTGGAGCCTGGTGGGATTCATCCCAGGGTACAGAATAAGTTAGTGAATGTTATGGCAGGAGCCCTCTCAATCACCTACCAAAGGTCTTGGGAGTCTGGGAAGGTTCCCGCTTACCAGAAGCTAGCCAATATTATTCCAATTTACAAAAATGATGTGAGGGAACACCCAGGAAACTTGAGACCTGTTACTCCAACCTCAGTTCCTGGAAAAATTACAAAGAGGGTCATACAGGGTAGTACTGAAAGGCATTTACAGAATAATGCAACCACAAGGCACAGTCAACACAGATTCACAAAGAGAAAGTCCTATTTAACTAATTTGCTATAATTCTGTGATAAAGTCACCTGCCATGGGGATGAAGAGAAGGCAGTGGATGTAGTTTTTCTGGATTTTAGTAAGGCTTTTGACACTGTCCCTCCTAGCACCATCCTGGACAAGCTGCTCCTCTGTGAGATGAGCAGGTTCATGGTGTGCTGGGTGAAGAACAGCCTGAGGGCAGAGTTCAAAGTGTTGTAACAAATGAAGTTACATTGGGCTGGAGACCAGTCAGTAGTGGTGCTCCTCAGGGCTCAGTTCTAGGAAAAGTTCTGTTAAATATTTTTATTATTGATCTAGATACAGACTTTGCACTATTAGCAAGTTTACTGATGACACCAAACTGTGAGGTGCTGTTGACTCTTCTGAGGGATAAGACACCTTGTAGAGGGATCCAGATAGACTGGGGTATTGGGCAGTCATCAATTGCATGAAATTTCACAGGAACAAATGCTGGACTGTGCACCTAGGAGGGAGTAATGCAAGGCATAAATATAGATTGGCAGAGGAGTGGCTGGGAAGCAGCTCTGCAGGCAGAAATCTGAGGGTGCTGGTGGGCAGCAGGCTCAATATGAGACAGCAGTGTGTCCTGGCAGCCATGAGAGCAACGGCATCGTGGGGGGCATGATCAGTCAAAAGAGGTGATTATCTCTCAGCACTGGTGCGGCCTCACCTTGAGGACTGTTTTCTGTTCTGGGTCCCACAACTTGAGAAGGTCCTTGAATTCACAGGAGGGCAACACAGCTGGTGGAAGGGCTGCAATACATGTCCTGCGAGGAGTGGCTGAGCATTCTAGACTGGTCTCACTGGGAGAAAAGGAGGCTGAAGGGTGGCCTCATTGCTTCCTGAGGAGGGGAGGTGCAGATCTCTTCTCCCTATTATGCAGTGACAGGACACATAGAAATGGCTCAAAGCTGTGCCAGGAGAGGCTTTGGTTGGGCATTGGGAAGCATTTCTTTACCAAGAGCGAGGTCAGATACTGAAACTGGCTTCCTAGAAAGGTGGTTGGTGTTCCAAGTTTGTCACTGTTTAAGAAGCACTTGGACAATACCCTTAATAACATGGTTTGATTTCTGGTTGTTGGACTAGATGACCATTGTAGCTCCCTTCCAACTGGACTATTCTATTCTATTCTATTCTATTCTATTCTATTCTATTCTATTCTATTCTATTCTATTCTATTCTATTCTATTCCATTCCATTCCATTCCATTCCATTCCATTCCATTCCATTCCATTCCATTCCATTCCATTCCATTCCTTTCCAAAGGATTTGCCCCTAGTGAGGTCACCAGTCACCTCCATATTTCCCTTGTGCCTTAGCATAGTTTCCAGGAGCGTCTGCTCCATGATCTTACTGGTCACAGAGGTGAGACTGTATCAGGATGCTTTGCCTCTGTGGGCCTACTTCAGTTTCCCTTTGTGATTCAACTGATCTTTGTCTCTCAGTCTCACACTCTCTGTCTCTCAGCTGCACTGCCCTTAGCCTGGAGTTGGAGAATTTCCATGGAATACAAAGGCATGGTAAACTCTGAACTGGTAACAATCTTAAAAGTATCTGTAGAAGGCTAAGTTGATACCTTTGGCATCAGCTGCTCTCCTGTTTTGAAA